CTTGGGCTTGTCGCCCGCGCCGGCCTCGAGCGCGGACGCGGACCGGCGCCGCTCGCGGCGCCGCGGCAGCTCGGGCACGGACCGCGACTCCTCGAGCGTCCGCGGGGGTTGCCTCGCCGCGGGCGCGGACCGCGACTCGGCGAGGGGCTCCGCGCCGTCGTCGAGGTCGACGGCGCGCCGCCCGGCGCGCCCGGCGCCCGCGCGCGGCGCCGCGGCCGGCGCCTCGGCGGCGGGCGCGGCGGGCGCGCGCGCCGCCGCCTGCTCCTCCGCGGCCGCGCGCGCGGCCGCGACGACGACGGCGGCGAAGGACGTCGGCGCGGTGAATCGAGGCGCGCGCTTCGCCTGGACCGCGTGCTCGGTCAGCCGCCGCTCCTCCGCGGCGACCTCGCCCATGCGGAAGAGGCCCGGCGCGGACCTGGGCAGGACAAGAGAGATTCAACTTCGCTTCAACGTGAGTGTTCCGCGCGCGCGCGTTCCGGAAAAAGCATCCACGCTTCGAGACCGTTCCAAGAGATGATCGCTCGTCCAAAAATCAGCCGAAACGAGTGGAAATCGGCCGAGAGAGGAGCCTTTGAAGTTGGGAATTTCGCTCTCTTGTCCTGCCCTGGCGCGGACTGGCGCTTGAGGCGGTTCGCCGTGAGCGCGTTCGTGAGCGCCGCGTCGAGGCCCGTCGGCGCGGCGGCGTCGGAGCCGTCGCCGCCGTCGCGCGGCGCGACCGCGCCCTTGAGCTTCGACCAGTGCTTCGCGCCCTTGACGAGGTGGGGCCCGCAGAGGTAGCGCGCGACCTTCATCTGGGCGTGGTCGAGCGTGACGCGCGCGCGGGAGCCGCGCGCGGCCTCGATGACCGCGACCGTCGCCTCCTCCCACTTGGCCCGGTGCCGCGCGAGCGCGGCCCAGGCGCCGCGGATCGTCGGGTCCTCGAGCATGCGGCGCGCGACGCCCTGCTTCACCTCGAAGCAGGCCGCGTCGTCGCTGAGCACGCGCAGGTCCCGCCGCCCGTGCGCGCGCGCCGCGCGCGCGTCGACGTGCTCTACGACGCCGAAGAGCTCCGCGCCGCCGTAGAGCGTCGCGACGGCCGACGCCTCGTCCGCGGACCGCGCGGCGACGACGCGGTACGTGCCCTTTTCGAGGAGGAAGACGGCGTTCCGGTAGGAGCCGCCGCGCACGAGGGCGCCCTTCCGGAGCGCGGGCCGCTCGACGCCCCGGAGCCAGCGCGCGCGCGTCGCCGCGGCGACGTGCTCGAAGACGCAGTGGCCCCCGAGCCACGCCGACGCGGCCCGGCCGTCGGCGACGCGCGCCGCGCGCGCGGCCTCGTAGCGGCTCCGCGGCACGCGCACGGCGACGGCGCCGTCGACCGCGACGACCGTCGCGAGGAACCGAGGCGACGCCTCGAAGACCGCGCCCTCGCCGACGGCGTCGCCGGGCCCGAAGTCGTCGTCGCCGTCGGCGCACTCGGCGTAGGCCGCCGCGCCCTCGACGACGCACGCGACGTACTCGCAGGGGTCGCCGGCGGCCGCCACGACGGCGCCGGCGCCGAGGCGCTCGACGACGTAGGCCGGCGAACCGCCGTCGACGAGGCACGCGAGCTTCGCCGACCGCAGCAGCGCGTCGGGGTCGTCCCGCTCGACGAGCCCCCGTTCCACGAGCACGGCGCGCGACGGCGACGCGACGGCGCGAGGCGATGTCATCGTCGAGCGCGCAACTTGCTTCGCACGCGAGAAGGAAGCGCGCGAGAAGGATTTATCGAAGTTCACCGTGCAATTGCCGTGCACCATCGGATAGTGTAGAATGCAGGCTAAAATTCCAAGCGTGCCCGCAGCGATGTACAGCATGCGATCCTCGCGCTCGCCGTCGGCGCCGCGGCCTTCGGCAGCAGCTCCAGCGCCACCTCCTCCGAGGACCTCGAGAGCATCGAGGCGACGCTGGACCACGTCGAGAAGATGGTGCGATCCCGCGTCCAAACGCTGCCCCGCACACCCGCCTCGCAGCCCCTCCACACTGCGCCTCGCAGGTCTACAACCACACCTACACGCCGTCCGCGCCCATCGGCACCACGACGCTCGGGCACGGCGTCGACCCGGACGACTACTCGACCTTGGACGACTACCAACTGCCCATGCGCCGCCGCCTCGAAGACGGGGAGAGCCTCGGCGTGCTCGGCCTGGGCTCGGGCGACTTGAACTTGTTCGAGCGCGCGGGCTTCGTCGTGCCGTTCGACTGGGAGTGCCAGACGGGCACGAGCGGCGGCGTGTACCCGTGCCCGAACGGCATCCCTTCGACGTGCCGCGCGAACACGGGCGGCGTGTCGTCGGTGTGCGCCAAGTGCTACTGCGAGGTCGGGAGCCACACGTGCTGCCCGTACTACAGCGAGAACAACACGTACTCGGAAGACGGCTACTGGTACGGGGGCTTCGAGTGCCCGTCGGCGCTCCTCAGCGGCGGCGAGCTCGTGACGGACTCGGCGGTCAACTACTGCGAGGTCGGCGACGCCGTCTCCGCGCTCTACGACGACGGCGAGTCCTACTCCGCGAAGGTGTCCGAGGTGACGGGCAGCGACATCACCGTCACGTACTCGGACGACGACACGTCGACCTACGACCTCACGGAGTCCGGCAACGTGGTGCAGACCGCGAGCGCCCGCGGACTGCGTCACGACCTGCGACTCGTCGACGCTCGCTACGGAGGTCTGGGGCAACCAGTGGTGGAACGACCCCTACGTGTCGCAGTCGTACATCAACTTCAAGGTGACGCGCTACGAGATGGCGGACGCGTTCGGCGTCGAGTTCTACTCGACGGAGGGCGACACGCTCAAGGTCTTCTCGACGGGCGACGTGCACTTCAAGCCGGACAACGCGGAGCGCACGGTGTACATCAACGAGCAGGTCGAGTACGAGTACGAGACCGACATCGACCGCCGCCTCTCGACGGCCGAGGCCGTGCTCGGGGACATCGACCTCACGCTGCCCATCGACCAAGCGCGGCTCGTCGAGGCGCGGTACCGCCACAGCAACACGCGCGGCGGCTCCCAGAAGCCCGCGGCCGCCTCGGAGGTCCCGAGCCCGAAGGGCGAGCCCGCCGCGCTGAAAGACGCGCCCGTCAACAAGGCCCGGCGTCGCCTCGGGGGCCGCCGCAACTTCATCTCCGCCGCGGGGTCGTTCTCGTTGGGCGGCGGCAGCAACCGGGCGGGCAACGACTGATAAGATCATACTTATCCCAACCCAACCTCGGGCCGAGGTTCCAGTTCAATGAAAACAAAAAAGAGTTTTTTGGAAAGACGATGGTGGACGACGGGGATGGGCAGCGGGAGGCGTCGCTCGACTCGGAGAAGCCTCACTTGAAGCGGCGTTTAGCATATCCCGCCGGCGTTACGAAGCACCCGGACTGCCGACGGCGCGCGCCCGCCGCGAATCCGGACAGCCCGCGGGTCCCGCGAGCATGGTTAGTCCCGCGCCCCCTTGCCCCCGGGGGAGGGGGTCAGCCCGAGCGCCAGGCGGAAGTCGCGGTGGTCGTTCTCGAGCTGGATGATGTTGAAGGACGTGAGCGTCGGCGGCGGCGCGCCGCCCGGCGTCCAGCGCTTCACCCAGCGGCAGAGGTGGAGCCCCGCGGTCCGCGCGTCGACCTCCTGCTTCAGCGCGGCGCCCAGCTGCAGCGTGAGCTGGGGGCTCCCGCCGTAGTAGAGGGTCTGCCCGTCGTACAAATCGATCTCGTCGGCGACGTCGAGCGCGCCCGTCGCGAGCGCGCAGTCCGCGCCGGGCAACACGCCGCCGACGACGCGGCGCCAGCCCTCGAGCGTCTCGCGGTCGTCGGGCGCGTTCGCGAAGCCCAGCAGGTCCGCGCGCACGAGCACGAGCGCCTCGTCGACCGTGCCGGCGTCGCAGGCGGCCCGGAGCGCGCGGAGCGCGTCGGGCCGCCAGGACAGCGCGTCCGCGACGCCGGCCGCGTCGGTCCGGAGCCGGCTCCGGATCGTCGCCGCGCAGGCCGCGTCGATGGCGTCCTCGGAGAAGGCGCGATCCTCCGCTTGCCACGCCGCTAAACAGCGCCACCGGAGCACCTCGTCCCAGTTCTCCACGACCTCCCCGGCGGTCAACGGCCGCGTGCCCGGCCGCACGCCCGCCAAATCGCCCTCGGTCGGCGCCCAGCCGCCGCCGTCCCACCGCTGGCCGCTCGGGTCGTCGCGCGCGGCGAGGGCGCGCTTGCCGACCTCGTCCTCCTCGAAGAGCAAGCGCAGGATCATCGTCGCCTCGGCCGGCCGCGCGACGCGCCGCTCCGCGAGCACGCGCGCGAACTTGGCGCTGAGGTCGAAGGTGCGCCAGCGGTGGTCCGGCAGCTCGCGCAGCTCGGCCCAGGGGCCCTCGGGCCGCAGGTGCTGCAGCGTCTCCAGGTAGACCTCGCTCTCGAGCGGCAGAGTGTCCGCGACAACATCGAGGTCCACGACGACGCGCGGCAGCGGCGCGACGGCGGAGGCGCCGAGCGGCGCGGGGCCGCGGCCCCGCGCCGGGACCGCGCGGTCGACGAAGGCTCCGACGCCGACGGCGACGAGGAACGCGCAACCCACGACGCGAGCCATTGCGGCGGATCTGCGTGTGTGGCGGCTTCTTCATCTTCGGCATATAGGCCTGCATATTGAGCCTTCTGCACAAGGCCTCGGGCAGCCGCAGCCGTAGCGTCGCAGTGCGGGCCTCGGCCGCAGCCTGCGCAGCGCCGCCCGCGCCAGGGAAGAAGGCGAGAAGCCCCGCCGCCCGGCGGTCGCGAGTTACCACGGCGACGCGGCCGGCCGCGGCCGCGGCGGCGCGAGCTTCGGCGCCTCGCGCTCGAGGCGCCGGTGGCGCGCGCGCGCGCGCATGCCCGTGGCCCACACCGTGATGTCGGCCATCTCGAAGAGCACCTCGACGCACTCGCGCGCGTCGCTGCCGCCCTGCGACTCGTCGTCTCGTTGGAGGCGCACGGCCTCGTAGAAGTCGTCGAGGGACCGGCCCAGGCCCGCGATGTACGCCTCCACGTAGCCCTCCATCATGCCCACGAACTCGCGGTGGAGCCGCTCCTGGGCGAAGGTGAACTCCTCGGCGTCGGGGTCGAACTCGTCCGCGCAGTCGACCTCGAACTTTTCGAGCGCGAGGAACTCGTCCATGAGGTTCGCGTCGAAGAGGTCGAAGAGGTACTCGGAGACGAGGTTCACGAGCTCCGCGGCGGCCGCGGCGTCGAGCGGCGGCGTCGCGCCGCCCTTGGCGCCCTTGGCCTCGCGCGGCGGCAGCGGCGAGTAGTCGTCCTTGGCCTCCGCCGACGCCTCCTTTAGGAGGCGGTTGAAGCTCATCGCACGAGCGCGGCGGGGCGACGGCCGCGGCGCGCGGTGCGCCGGGAAGGCGCGGCCGCCGCGCAGATCCGGGGCAGCCCGCAAAACAAAAGCACCTTTCCTTCAACATTGGCAACCTTGCAGCTCTCCCTTGCCCGATGAGTGCCGCAGCGGGGGCCAGCATGATGCGTGCGGCGCGTCGCTCGGTCAACGCGCGGCGCGTCGCCCGCCCCGCGATGCTCCGTGCGTCGAGCGGCGCCGCGGCCGACGACAACACCTGGTCCTGGGTGCCGCCGGCGCGGACCAAGGACAAGGGCCGCAAGGCGCGGGCGCCGAGCCGCTTCCCGGCGACGACGGCGCCCCTGGACCGCGGCGACGTGCTGGCCATCCTCGAGGACGCGGGCGCCGTCGACGTCGAGACCATCGCGCTGCCCGCGGACGCGCCCGGCGACGCCATGGTCCTCGCGTCGGCGCTGTCGCCGAAGCACCTGCGGTCGCTCGCGGACGCGGTCCTCGCCGAGGCGAAGCGGCGCGGGCGGCCCCCGCGCGCCGACGGCGTCGACGACCCGGACTGGGTCTCCGTCGACCTCGACGCCGTCGTCGTCCAGCTCCTCACGGAGCACGCGCGCGCGGACCTCCAGCTCGAGGCGCTCTGGGACCCGAGGCGCCGCGACCCCCAGGCGGAGCCGCCGCCGGAGTAAGCCTTTTTTCGTCGGGGTTGTGTCGCGTAGCCGGGCGCGTCCGCGATGGGGTGGCCTGGCGCTCGGGCTAGTAGGGGGCGGCCTGGCAGATGCGCTCGCCGAGAAGTCTTCGCGCCACGCCCTCAGGGCGGCTTTTTCGTTGTCCTTGAAGGCGAACCGCGCCACGCCCTCCGTGATGGCCGCGAGGAGCTTGTAGGTCGTCGTCACGACGCTTTCCTTGTGCACACGTGGCGGCGATGCAGCAGCGGCTGGATGTGCAAGCCCGAGGTCCTCTCGCCCGAGGCGGTGAACGCGCTCTCGGATGACGCGATCGCCGCGAAGCTCAAGACCGGCGGCGAGTCGCCTTAGGCGGAACGCGACGTGCCTGGCTCCACCTCGGTGCTCGACGCGCCTCAGGCTACTCCGGGACTCGGCGTCTTAAGCCGCCCACCCCCCTACTCTAATTGCTCGAGTCGGGCTCCAGGCGGCCCGCGGCCGCATCGGTCTTGGACGCGCCCCACTTGATGTGCGCTTTCTTCGTGAAAAGGGTGAGCGGCGCCCGCCAGAGCCGGGCGCCGGCGCTCGTCCCCGCGGCCGGGCGGCTCGCAGTAGGAGGCGTAGTAGGCCTCACCCCCCCACCTCGAAATTCGAGTTCTCGGAGCCGCGCCGGTGCCGGGCGCCGGCCTCGTCGAGCTTCGCGCGCGCCGCGCCGCACGAGCCGCGCGCCGCGCCGCGCGTCCGCCGCGCGCACGAGCCGCGCGCCGCGCCGCGCGTCCGCCGCGCGCACGTGGCGAGATCGCGGCGCGCCGAAGAGCTCTACCTTGGGCGCCTTGGTGCCTGAATCGATTCCGGCTCTGTGCCAGGCGCCAAGTCGAGCGCCGCGCCGCGCCGCACGAGGCGCCGCGTCCGCCGCGCCGCACGAGTGACGAACGCCGCAACACCACCAACAAGCGCACCACAACGCCATGGAGCGCCTGCGCCAGTCGTCGGCGCCGTCCATGGAGGTCGACGGCGCGGAGCTCGAGGCCGCGCTCACGGACCTCGACTGGGTGACGCTCGAGTTCAACATGGCCGCGCTCGAGGAGCGCTACGCGACGTACCGGGCGCGCTGCGCGCGGCTTCTAGGGGCGACGCCCTGGCTCACGCGCGCGGGGATTCTGGTCGTACGCGTGGGCGCGGACGTCGTCCAGGGCGTCTCGCGCGGCACGACGTGGCACCCGCGCGAGGTCTGGGTCCTCCTGGGCTTCGTCGCCCTCGTCGCGTCCCTGCGCGCCGGCGCCAGGTGCGTCGAGCTGCGCGACGGCGACGGGAGCCGGGACCGGTGGACGCGCCACGCGCTCGCGCTCGCCGTCGCGCACGCCGCGCAGATCTTCCTCGCGTACTTCCTCCGCTTCGGCGACGCCTGGAGCCGGCCCTACTACCTCGGTTTAGATGTTGCCGTCGATGGTGGTTTGTTTTCGCTCTGCTTCGGGCTGAAGCTCAAGGGCGTGCTCTTGGCGCTGTCGCTCGACGTCGTCGCGCTGCTCGCGTGTTTGCTGAGCGACGCGCACGCGCGCGTCTTCCCGCTGCTCACGGGCCTCGTGCTCCTCGTGGCCTTTTCCTGCGTGGCGCGGGCGACGGAGCGCCAGGGGCGCGTGGCCTTCGCGCAGGCGGTGCGCGTCGACGCGAAGCAGTCGACGGACATGCGCGGCATCAGCAACCCGTTCTCCGCGAACAACCTGGCCGCGTGGCTCTTCCCCGCGCCCGGCGACGGCGGCGCGGGCATTTCCATGCCCGAGGTCAAGGTCGACGAGGAGCTCGCGGAGTCGCGGTCGCCGAAGCACGGCTTCCAGTCGCCGCAGAAGGCCCTAATCTCGTCGCTGACGCGGCGGTCGCGCCACGCGGAGGAGGAGAAGGCCCACGCCGACGACGACCTACGCGAACACCGGGCCGCGGCGACGCGGAAGCGCTTCGCGACGCTCCAGTCCTGGCAGATCGACTTCGAGCGGCTCCGCGTCGTCGCGAAGATCGGCGCGGGCGCCGCGGGCCAGGTCTACGAGGGCGAGTTCCTCGGCGCGCGCGTGGCCATCAAGCAGCTCTTCAGCTCCTTCATCGACCCGTCGGATCTCGACGAGTTCTCGCGCGAGGTGACGCTCCTCCACAAGCTGAAGCACCCCCACGTGCTCACGTTCTACGGCATCTCGCGCCGCGACGTCTACTGCTTCATCGTCACGGAGCACTGCCCCTACGCGCTCGACGCGCTGCTCCGCGGCGAGGCGCCGGCGGCGCGGCGCGGCACCGGCCGGGCGGCGCGGCCGCCGCGGCTGAGCGTCAACGACCGGTCGCTGATCCTGTTCCAGGTCGCGCTGGCGTTGACGTACCTCCACGCGGAGCGCGTGCTGCACCACGACCTCAAGCCGGGCAACATCCTCCTCGACAAGGACCTGGGCGCCAAGGTGTCGGATTTCGGGCTGAGCCAGCTCGTCGACGACGACGGCGGCGACGACGGCCAGCGGCGGAAGCGGTCCGCGCCGCGGCGCATGTCCGCGGGCGCGACGGCGTGCTACGCGGCGCCGGAGATGCTCGGCGCCGGCGGCGGCGTGCTCGGCGGCGGCGAGTCGCCGCGGGTCTGCGGCTTCGAGGCCATGAGCCGCCTGGACGTCTTCGCGTTCGGCATCGTCACCGCGGCGACGTTCAGCCAGAACCAGGGCAGGACAAGAGAGCGAAATTCCCAACTTCAGAGGCTCCGATCTCGGCCGTTTTCCACTCGTTTCGGCTGATTTTTGGACGAGCGATCATCTCTCGGAACGGTCTCGACGCGTGGATGTTTTTCTCGTGACGCGCGCGCGCGGAACACTCACGTTGAAGCGACGTTGAATCTCTCTTGTGCTGCCCAGGCCAGAACGGCGACCCGTACCACCACTACGTGACGCCGGGGACGCTCGCGGACCGGGAGAATGCCATCGCCGACGCCGTCAAGGCCGGCGAGCTGCGGCCCCAGGTGCCCGCGGCGCTGCCGGACCGCGTCCGCGCGACCATGGAGGCCTGCTGGGCCCAGGACCCGGAGCGGAGGCCGACGTTCGCGGACGTCGCGGCGCGCCTCCGGACCGTCTGCGTCGGCCAGGGCACGCTCGCCGTCGGCGAGTCGACGAAGCTGCCCCTCGGGCCCGACGCGCGCGACCCGAGCGGCGGCGACGACGCGTCCCTGTTGTAAGGCGGTCGGTGTGCGCCTGAAGGTCGGATGTGTGTTTTTTCGCCGCGTCGGTGGTGCCGCGACTCGGTCATGTGCGCCCATCTCAGGACTCGTTTTTATCGCGCGGCGAGCGCGGGCGTCGGCGGCCGCGCGCGCGCGGGCCGCCGGGCCGCGAGGAAGGCGCGGGGCGCCAGGAGGCCCGCGCGCCAGGCGAAGGCGAGCGCGCGGACGCCCTGGAAGTAGACGTAGACGCCCCAGAGCGCGCGGAGCCCGAGGTTTCGCCGCGCGACGGCGCCGTGGAGCGCGGCGACGCAGGCGGCGAGGAAGGCGTAGAACCCGCAGAGGAAGCCGAGGTCGCGGCGCACGAGGAGCACGCCCTCGAGGGTCACGGCGGACGCGTGGAGCGCGAGCGTCCCCGCGGTCAGCGGCAGGCACGCCGCGACCGCGGTCACGACGGCGCCGTCCGTCGTGAACGCGCGCGCGCCCCGGAGCACGACCGCCGAGCTCGCCGCGACGCACACGCCGGAAATCGTCCAGCAGACCCGGAGGATGCTTGCGACGGACGGCCGCGCCGCGGCGACGTCGAACGCGAGCCGGCCCTCGGCTTCGCCGCCGTCCCCCGCGAATCGAGGCAGGAACGCGAGCGCGAGCGACGTCCCGACGTCGCCGAGCACGAAGCAGAACATGGCCACGGAGAAGATGACCGTGTGCGCGGCCGCCGCGGCGCCGCCCATCGACGCGGCCGTCTTCGCCGCGGAGTTGTGCAGGAACAGCTTCACGACGCAGCACCAGACGAAGGGCCCGAACCCGAAGAAGGGCGCGCAGTCCCGAAGCCGCGGCAGGCGCCGCCGCTTGCCAAAGCAGGCGCGGCAGAGGAAGCCGCGCGTCCACAATTTGCGGACGAGCAGCGCCGCGGCCGCGTACTGCGACGCCGCCGTCGCTTCGGCCGCGCCCACGAGGCCCCGCGACGGCACGAGTAACACGTCGCCGGCTAAATTCAGCGCGGCGCCCACGGCCACGGACACCGCGGGCGTCACGGAGTCCCGCGCGCCGAGGCACGCCGCCTGCGCCACGGACGCGACGAGCGCCGCGGGCAGCGCGTAGGCCCGCACCGCGACGTAGCGCGCGACCAGGGGCGCGAGGTCGCCCGAGCCGCCGGCGTACCACAGGCTCAGCGGCAGGCTCTTGACCACGAGCAGGCCGCCGACCGCGACGCCGAAGCACGCCGCGAGCGCCAGGCCCGTCGTCGCCGCGCGCGCCGCGGCGTCGAGGTCGCCGGCGCCCGCGTCGTCGCAGCCGCTCCGCGCGACGAAGTTCGTCGTCGCGACGGAGAGGAAGACGAGGAGCGTCGTCGCCGAGTCGGAGATCGTGCCCGCGGGTCCCAGCGCGGCGAGCGCCGCCGACGACCCGCGGCGGCCGACGAGCGCGGCGTCGATGAGCGACATGAGCGGGCCGGCGACGTAGATGGCCAGCGCCGGGGCGGCGAAGCGCGCGCACTCGAAATAGGTCGTCGTGGTGTGCGGTGGCGGCGGCGGCGCGGGCGCGGGCGGCGCGCGCGTCGGGTAGGGGTCGCCGCTCCAGCACGACTTCTCCCAGGCCGACGCGCGCGTGCGTACGCGTAGCCGCGGCGCCGGCGCGACGAATGCGGCGGATGCTGCGCAGCAGAGCGCGACCGCGACCGCTCGCGCCATGCCGCACGAGTGCACCGCGACGACGCTCGCTGAGACGCCTTGCGTTCAAGGCAACGTCTGATGGTGCAGTCTCATAGTTGAACACGATGGTGAACAGCGGTTTCGGAGCCTGCCCACCGACGACTTCGACCATCGAGGTGGGCCTCTACCTTTCTTGCAGGATCTCCGGCTCGCTGCTGGGTCCCATCCTGCCGGCCGCCGCCATGGCGGAGGCCAACGGCGGCGGCGGAAGCGACGCCGTCGTCGCGGTGGCGCCCGACCCGGAGGCCGCCGACGCCGCGCGGTCGCTCGGCGCGCTCGAGGTGCACGTCGACGCCCTCATGGGCGCGGCGGCGGCCATCGAGGACCTCGTGGCGTCGCTGGGCGCCCCCGGCGGCGACGACCTCGCCGTGCTCGTCGAGCAGCTCGAAGCGGCGTCGCGCGCCGCGCTCGGCCGCGACGACGGCGGGTCGCCGGGCGGCCAGAGCCGCGCGCTCGCCGCGCAGGACGCGCGGGACGAGCGGCGGTCCGCGCGCCTGAGCCGCTGGGCGTCGCTCCGCGCCTCCGTGGCCGACCAGCGGAGCTCGAAGGCGGCGAAGCCGCGCGACCTGTCGGCCGTCGTCGACCGGGCGACGGGCAAGGTCACGGCGTCCGCCGCGGAGCTCGAGGACTTGTTGGCGACGCGCACGGTGTCCACGGCGCGGCCGCCCATGTCCGACGCCGTCGGGCGCCAGCTTTTCCTGCGGCTGCGGCTCATCGACATGCGGCGGGGCCGGGAGGCGAAGCTGCGGCGCGCGTGGAACCTGTGGAACGGCCGCGCGCCCGCGGCGCCCGCGGGCGCGTCCGCCGCGCCGGCGGCGGACCCGGCGGCGTCGACGTGGCAGGGCGCCGGCAAGCGGAGCCGCGTCTTCCCGTCGACGCGGCGCCAGACGCAGCGCGCGGAGAAGGCGCGCCACGTCGGCCAGCGGCACACGGCGCTGTCCGCCGCGCTGCTCGCGGAGGCGCGGCTCGCGCGGTCCGCGAACACGTCGGCCTTCGTGGCCAAGGTCGAGGCCAAGTTTGACGACCTCGTGGCGTCGCGGGGCGCCGTGGCCGTCGGCGACGTCGCGTCCGCGATGGACGCGCTGGGCCGGCCCGCGCCCGCGGCCGCGGTCGCGCGCGCGCGGCACAAGGCGCGGCTCCCGCTTTCCACGGCGCTCAACAAGGGCGACTTCGTCACGCTCTGCCTGTCCATCGAGGAGTGCCGCTCCGAGGCCTTCGACGAGGCCTGCAAGAAGCAGAAGGCGATGCTGCTCACGCTCGAGGAGGAGACGGTGTGCCGCGTCGTCGGCGACCGGAGCTCCTGGGTCGCCGGCGTCGAGCTGCGGGAACCCAACGACGGCCTCATCCAGGTCTTCGACGCGGCGATCATGACGCTGTTGGTTTTTATCTTCATCTTTTTGCCGGTGGAACTCGCGTTCGAGGAGATCGGCGAGACGGCGGCCGTCGAGTACCTGGGCCTGAGCATCGACCTCTACTTCTGCCTCGACATCCTGAAGACGTTCAACGTGGGCTTCGTGAACTACAACGACGTCCTCGTGATGGACCGCTACGCCGTCGCGCGGCGCTACGCGTCGACGTGGCTGCTCATCGACCTCACGTCGTCCATCCCCATCTCCCACATCCTGAAGCTGTTCATCAACGAGAACGGCGGCGCGTTGGTCTCCGGGAAGAAGGCGCTGAAGCTCGCGCGGCTCGCGAAGCTGTCGAAGCTGCTGAAGCTCATGCGCGCGACGCAGTTCGTCCAGCGGCTGCGGACGTTCCTGTTCCAGGTGCTCGACGACCTGGGCATCCGCATCAGCGACGCGGTGTTCAAGCTCGTGCGTTTATTGCTCTACCTGCTCGTGCTGGCCCACTGGCTCGGCTGCCTCTTCTACCTGCTCTGCCGCCTCTACGGCTTCCCCTCGGAGTCGTGGGTCGTGCGGAGCGGCCTCGTGGACAAGCACGGCGGCAAGCGGTTGAGTGTGTCCATGCGCTACACCTGGTCCCTCTACAAGATTTTGGCGAGCTTCGTGCAGATCGCCTTCGCGGAGCCCGCGGTGTCGCAGCAGTGCCTGCGGGCCACGGGCTGGTGCCGCGTCGAGTCCTGGGTCACGCTGCTGTGCCTCTACATCGGCACGGTCTTCTTCGCCATGCTCGTGTCGAACATGGCGGCCATCATCGCGAACGCGAACGTCGGCTCGCGGAACTTCGAGGAGAAGCTGAACGCGGCGCTCGAGTACATGCGCATGCGGAAATTCCCGCGCATGACCATGGACCGCGTCAAGGAGTACTACTACGTGCGCTTCATGGGCGGCAAGTTCTTCGACGAGACGTCCATCCTGCAAAACCTCAACCCGGAGCTCCGCAAGGAGATCTCGCTCTACAACACGCGGAGCATCCGGCCGAAGACGCCGCTGCTGCGGAACTCGCCCGAGCGGTTCTTCGCGACGCTCGCGATCCACCTGCGGCCGACGTCCTTCTTCGACGGCGACGTCGTCTTCAGCGAGGGCGCGCAGACGGGCGCGATGTTCTTCATCTCGCAGGGCTTCTGCGAGATCCTGCTCCGCGCCGCGCACAACCGCGCCGTCCGCGTGCTCGCCGCGGGCTGCTACTTTGGGGAGGTCGCGACGCTGCTGGGCACGAAGCGCACGGCGACGATCCGGGCCATGGGCATGCTCGAGCTCTACGCGCTCGGCGGCGAGCGGTTGGTGGAGGCGTGCTCGGACTTCCCCGACATCGCGGCGTACCTCCGCGAGGTCGCGCTGAACCGCATCACCGTGCTGCGCCAGTTCGACGCGTCCGCCGACATCGACGCGACCATCGACGAGGCCTACGTCGACGGCGAGGACGCGCAGACGCCCCTCTACAAGAGCTCCATGGTCCGCATGACGCAGCGGCTCTCGCAGATCCGGCCGCCGCAGCCCAAGTCCATGGCCGGAAGACTCCGGTCCATGAACCTGAAGAAGTCCCTGCGCGTGTCCAAGGTGAGCCCCAACGGCAAGCGGGCCGGCGACCTCGCGGCCGCGGCGCGCGCGTCCGCGGAGAAGCACCAGGCCGCGCCGCGCGCGGCCGAGCGCGCGGGCTCCTAAGGCGCTTCTTAGTCGTCCCGGCGGTCGCGCGCCTCGGCCCGCTCGAGGCGCTCCCGCTCGTCCTGCTCCTTGCGCGCGAGCGCGTCGGGGTCGCCGGCCGCGGCGAGCGCGTCCCGCTCCTTGCGCAGCTCGACGACGACGGCCGCGAGCGCGGCGGGGTTGACGCCGTAGTCGCAGAGCCGCGTGAGGATCTCCAGGGATTCGCGGTTCAGGCCCGTGCCCAGGTTGTCGCTCAGCTCCTGCACGGCGTCCATGGTCGCCGCGGGGATCTCGCGCGGCACGGGGCCGTCGGGGATGCCCATGGCTTCGAAACCGCGCGGCTTCTTTGGCGCGGCGGCGGCTTGCGCGGTCGTGGACGCGTCTGGTGGCGGTGTCGGCGGTGCGCGCGCGCAGTCGAGTTTGCGCCGGAGAGCTTGTCAAGGCGACTGCTCGTGATGTTCACTGTGCAGTTTTGCCACAGCGATGGAGGCTGCAAAGCCTCGGCATCCAGCCATGCAGCCGCCCGCGGCAGCCTCCTCCGCTTCTAACACAGAAGAAGAGGTCGTCGCCTTCGGCGGCGTCTCCGTGCGCCTCAAGGTCGACTGGGGCGTCGGCATCGGCGGCGCGACCTGGACCTCGGGCCAGCAGCTCTGCCGCCACCTCGCGACCTACGAAAAGCGCTACGCGGCGCTGCGACCCCGGCCGCTGCGCTTCCTCGAGCTCGGCGCGGGCACGGGCGTGAGCGGCCTCTTCGCGGCGAAGCTCTTCCCGGACAGCGCCGCGGCGTTGACGGACCTCGGCGACCATTTGGCGTTGTTGGACGCGAACGTCGCGCTCAACGAATTGGGCGGCCGCGTCTCGACGGCGCTCCTCGACTGGGCGGACCCGCGGACCTTTGGCGCCCTCGACGCCTTCGCGCCGGACGTCGTGCTGGCCGCGGACTGCGCGTACCACGCGTCGCTGCACGGGCCGCTCGTCGCCGTCCTCGAACGCGCGTGCGCTTCCGGCGCGACGTGCGCGCTCGGCGTCACGAAGAGCGACACGGGCCTGACCTTCTTCGACGCGCTCCACGCCGCGGGCCTGGACTACGCGCTCCTCGAGCCGCCCGCCGACGCGTACTCCGCGCTCTTCGCGGTGTCGTCGCGGCCGGCCTTCGGCGAGGTTCGCGACGCGCGGGAGCCGCCCTGGGCGTCGCCCTAAGGTTCTCTAGCGCAGGACCGTGGGCGCGTGGGGCGGCGCGCGAGATCCCGGCCCCCGCGCGCCCGGGAAGCAGGACCAGAAGCGGAGCGTCTCGTCGCCCGCGCCCGTGACGATGGTCTGGTTGTCCGGCGAGATGGCGAGGTAGAGCACGCGGCGGCAGTGGCCCGTGAGCGTCGCGTAGTTCGTCAGGCTCGGCACGTTCCAGATGCAGATCTGGTTCAGCGAGTAGCCGTGCGTCGACACGAGCTCGTCGACGGACCGCGACCACGCGAGCGCGCAGACCTGGCTGCCCGTGTCGACGCTGTCGACGAGCGCGCAGGTCCGCGCGTCCCAGAACTTGATCGTGCGGTCCGCCGTGCCCGCGCCGGACGCCAGGGAGCCGCGCTTGTGGGGGGACCAGGCGATGGCCTTGACGGCCGCGACGTGGTCCCCGAAGCTGCAGAGCGGCGCCGCGCGGCGCCGCCGCGGCCGCGGCGCGACGCCGGGCCGCGGCGCCGCCGGGGCCGGGGCCTCGTCGCCGCGCCGCGCCTCGCCGCCCGCGGACGACTGCAGCAGGCGCCGCGCGTCCCAGACCTTCAAGTCGTTGTCGTTGCCGCCGGACGCGAGGAAGTCGCCGCAGGGGCTCCAGCGCAGGCCGCAGACCTCCTGGCGGTGCGCGCGGAGCCGCGCGTAGTTGCTCCGCGGCTCGCGCACGTCGCGGCAGCAGATGGCGCGGTCCCGGCTCCCGGACGCCAGCGCGTCGCCGCGCCAGCACAGCGTGCCCACGCGCGCGCCGTGGCCCGGCGCGTCGCCTGGGCAGGAAAAGAGTGCGACATTCCCAAACTTCAAAGGCTCCTATCTCGGCCGTTTTCCTCGTTTCGGCTGATTCTTGGACGAGCGATCATCTCTCGGAACGGTCTCGAAGCGTGGATGCTTTTTCCGGAACGCGCGCGCGCGGAACACTCACGTTGAAGCGACGTTGAATCACCCTTTTCCCGCCCGGCGCGTCGCGCACGCGGCGCCGCCGCGCGACGTCCCAGACGGCGATGCGCCCGGACCGCGACCCGACGGCCAGGAGCGACCCCCGCGCGTTCCAGGCGAGCGACGACACCGCGTCGCGCGCGCCGACGTCGCAGAGCTCGTCGACGCGCGAGCTCCACCTGCGCGGGGAACGGCGCGATTCGACGTCGCTTCGACGCGAGCGCGCCGCGCGCGCGCGCGTTTCAGAGCACCCACGCCTCGAGCCCGTTTCTTCGAGATGATCGCTCGTCCAAAAGTCAGCCGAAACGAATTAAAAACGAAAGAGAGAGAAGTCGGGCACGTCGCGCCCTTTTCCCGCGCTGCGCTCCGCGGGCTCCGAAGATAAACCTTGGACCCGAGCCCCACGGCGAGGACGTTCGACGAGCTCCAGTGCACCAGATCCAGGTAGAAGTCGTCGCTCAGGCCCGGCGCGTCGAGCACCTTGAAGGGCGCGCCCTGGATCCGGCGCCGCCGCGCGGCCTCGCCGCGGCCGCCGCCGCCGCGGTCGCCGCCCGGCCGCGGCGCGGCGCCGTCCCAGGCCCGGGGGCTCGCGGGCCGCGGCTTCGCGGGCGAGAACCCCAGGGCGCACGGCGGCCGCGCGCCGCCCAGGAGCTCCGCGCGGAGCAGCGCGGCGCGGCCGCCGTCGCGCGGCGCGGCCGCCGCGGCCGCGGGGCCGTCGTTCTCGAAGTCCTCGCGCGCGAGCTCGAAGCGCGACCCGCTCCGGCACGGGATGAAGCGGTCGTTCCCGGCGCCGGCGTAGGACGCCATGCGGCGCCCGAAATTCGCTTCCGACGGGAGCCGCGGGGCCGGGCAGCCCCCGGCGGTCGTCGGCGACGAGGCGCTCGCGGCGCGGCGCCGGCGGCGACGCTGCCTTCGATGGAGGCGTGGCCGGCGCCGTCGACCGGCGCGCCGGTCGACCACGACGCCGGGCGGCGCGCCGAGAGCCTGTTATGTTCCTTCGTCCCCCACGACGCACTCTCCCAGATAGGCTAGCGCTCCAATTGTAGCGCTCTTGAAACTGCACCTTGAAGGTCGCTTAAATCGAGGCCGACGTTATCCCCACGACGAGGCGGCCTTTCGAGCTCTCGTTCGATCGTAATTTCGATCGTGACAGGTCAAATCGACACGAAAGATGCAA